TTAGAACTAGGAGATTTATTTTTTCTCTTCAAAGCAGGTGTAGAACAAGCTATAGTCTTGTCTTCAGTGTGCTTAGATGGGAGAGAAGAAAAACTGTCAAGGTTGTTTATATGTGTACTGAAGAGTGTTTAGTCAGATCATATCCTTTGTAAAAGCCTTGCAAGGAAGATCTTTGCTGTGAAAACTGGCAGTGTTGTTTCTGCCTCGTATGTGCATTCAGTTGATAGAGACACCACCTTGCTTTCTGATGCAAAAAGAAAGCCCAAAGCACACCGATGCTGTGGTGCTTTGGGCTTCTACAGAAAAGGGCAAAGGTTCTCCTGTAGTTTGTTTCACTGGAAATAGTTTACATACCAGATGTACATGGTGTGCTCTTCCCCCATCTTCTCTTAAACTGTACCTTTTTATAAAAGTGTTCTATAATGGATGTAGTTTAAAACTAGGAATCTTCTAGACATATTTTGCTGTCACTTTTATTCATGTTTTCCTGTGTTTTCTTTCTGAATTACTAAAGAGTGCTGAAAATTTAAATAGCTCTCAATTGAATGGTAATTCACCATGTGTGAATTGTTTCTACTACTTTTAGGTGAATTTTCAATCTTGAAAATACTGGTTAGGGAACCTGTCACTAATCACAGAATGGTTTGGGTTGGAAGAGACATTAAAGATCATCTTGTTCCAAGCCCCTGCCATGGGCAGGGACACCTTCCACTAGACTAGATTGTTCAAAGCCCCATCCAACCTGGCCTTGAACACTTCCAGGCATGAGGCAGCCACAGCTTCTCTGGGCAGCCTGTTCTAGTGCCTCACCACCCTCATAGTAAAGGATTTCTTCTGTATATCTAATCTGAATCTGCCCTCTTTCAGTTTGACACTGTCCCCCCCTTGTTCTGTCACTACATATCCTTGTAAAAAGTCCCTCTCCAGCTCTCATAGCCCTCTTTAGTACTGGAAGGTTGCAGTAAGGTCTCCCTGGAGCCAGCCCTGCTTCAGGCTGCAGAGCACCAACTCTCTCACCCTTTCCTCATAGCAGAGGTGCTCCATCCCCCTGATCGTCCTGGTGCCCTTCTCTGGACTTGCTCCAGCAGGTCCATGTCCTTTCTTTGCTGGGGCCCCAGAGCTGGATGCAGTGCTCCAAGTGGGATCTCACCAAGCAGAGCAGAGGGGCAGAATCACCTCCCTCGCCCTGCTGCCCACACAGCTTTTGATGCAGCCCAAAACACCTTTTTTGGTGGGCAAGCTCACATTGCTGGCTCCTGTTGAGCCTCTCATCCACCAGCACCCCCAAGTCCTTTTCAGCAGGGCTGATCTCCATCTGTTTCATCCCCCAGACTGGACTAGTACTGGGGGGTTGCCCTGACCCAGGTGCAGCACCTTGCACTTCGTCTTGTTAAACTTCATGAGATTCCATGGCCCACTTCTCCAGCTTGTCCAGGTCCCTCTGGATGGCATCCCACCCTTCAGGTGTGTCAACTGCACCACTCAGCCTGGTGTCATCTGCAAACCTGCTGAGGGTGCACTCGATCCCTTTGTCTGTGTCACTGATGACGAGACTGAACCCTTGGTGTGGCGTAGCCCTCTGCTAAGTCGACTGAAACCTCTCCAGAAAAATGGAATATCAGCTTCAGCCACGTCAGATTATCTTTGATAGTTTGGTGAGCTAATGTGATTAAACCACATCCTGGTCAGCCCATTACGAAAGATGATGAGTTGGCAGGTACACTTGGTGAGCATTAGTGCACTCAGAGTGTACTGCAGAGTCCTTGGTTTAGTCATGCGTGTGCTTCGCTAGGTGGAGGTTTTTGTGTGCGTTTGTGCAGCGCTATGGTCGGGTGGCACCGAAGGCCACCTGAAGGGCTGGGAATGCTTTCAAGACTAAGTGGTGGTGTAAGTTTTCAGTAGGGACTGTCCATAACGTGCTGTAAATTAATTACAATGTTGGCATCAACAGTAGAATATTACAGCAAAGACAGCAAATACAGAAAGGTTAATGCCAAATATGTCAGCAAAAAAATGAAACAGGGACATCTCCCAGTTTCTTCTTAAACTTAAGGTCATGAGTAGCCACATGAAAAGGCTGTCATTTTTTCTGCCTCAGCTGTGGAGTAGGTTCAGTAGTTAGGGCACCAGAACACAGTTTTTATGGAACCAGGTCTGTATAGATATTTAATGGGAATTCGCCACAAGATCTGGCTCCACAAATAGCATTGGAACTGTTTTAGCAGCAAATTAAATACTTGCCAAATGTTGTCATTTTGTGATGGAGATGTCCAAAATACATGGCAGATTTGGAAACAGATACAGGGGATTTGGAAACTTTTTGGTGTGTGTGCAAGTTGTTTGACATGAGGTTGTCTCTCAGGTTGGCAACACAATGGTTAACTCCCACTGGCTCCAGGAGTGAAAGGCAAGTGGCATTTCTTCAGAACAGGCAGTATTTTCTCATAACAATCAAGCGAAAATGTTGGTTTTAACGACTGCAAAGAAAACAAGATGAATGTTGTTCTGTATGTGTCACATAGTTACTGTTCCAAATAACCAGTGTTTATTGCACTGGGGCTATAAAATATTCCTTTGTCCAACTTGTGCCTGGCCATCTCTCATCTCAGCTACTTCAGTTCGTCCTTTTTTGGTCGCCTTCTCACTTTTTTGGCATGCCTCTTCTAACTCCAGTTTTCTGTTTCTGGTCATGTCTCATGGGGGGCTTTGTGTTTCCATCTTGCACTGAATGCTTCATTGTTGCTTCTACATTCTGCATAATTTTACATCTGCCTGTAATAGATTTCTTCATGTTTTGGCTCTTACGATATTATTGTTGGTATTTGTACATGCATCAGTACTCCATGCTGAGTTAAATAGCAAATTTTAGTGTTGCACATTGCAAGTGAGAATCCTTTAACAGTTACTGAGCTTTGATTTTGTTATTTCAGTACTTGCTTGTGGCACAGGTGCTTTGGGAAGGACTCTCTGGCCCTATTTCTGATGGTCCTGAAACAATTTTTGTCTACAAACACACTCTTAATTATGTGTCTTGCTATTGAGTGTTTGCTGCTGGCTTGGAGGTGAGGGAACATGTTAGTGCTGTAACTAGTGATGTGTACAGTTTTCTTCATCACAGGATCATCAAATGGTTTGGGTTGGAAGGGACCTTCAAAGGGGATCTAGTTCCAACCCTCCTGCCATGGTTCACGATAAAAGCGATTTAGTAGAGAAGAAGCAAAGTCTGCACAAGAAAACAGAGGAAAACAAAACCATATTTACTTTCCAACAGAAGTCAATGTCATTGTAAAAATGAGGATGTGAAAAGTCTTCAGGTTGCTTATAAGGAATCAAGAGTTGTAACATGGGGTCCTGCTTGTGCTCCCAGCTGAGAGCCACCTTTATTGCTGGCAGTAGCAAAGGGGTTTTAGGTGGTGCCAACTTCTCCTGCCTTCTTTCTGGTGTACACACGCAAAAACCTGATGAAGGCGGCAAGCAAATCCATTTTGGTAACAATTTGGGAACCCAGGTGGGACTCTGTGAGTTCCCAACCTGGTGAGCGTGGTGATGGGATATGACACAGCCAGTACTGGGTGAGTTCACCCCATTTTCCTTGCAAGATCCACATTCCCAGGAAAGGTACTAATTCTGGGGACAGCATCAGTCATTGGGGGGTTAAATAGGAAAGGTAAAATGGGGTTTACTGGTGAGAGATACTCTGGGAAACTGGAAGGAACTTGATGGTACTTTAGGACTCCATCAACTTCGTGTACTTTTGTGTACTCCAACTACTTTGTGTAGTTCTGTGTCAGGTGAGTGCCTGGAATTCAGGAGAGGACACCTCCAAGCCCTGGCCCCAGAGGGGTTCATTTGATGTGAGAAAGCTGACCTTCCTGCCTCATCAGTGATACAGCTGGCTTTCTGGGCTGCTCTCAAGCCATTCACCCCACTCGGTACAGGTGCTGTGGATTGCCCCAGCCCAGGCGCAGGAACTTGCACTTGGCCTTGTTGAACTTCACGGGGTTCACATGGGCCTCCAGCCTGTCCAGTTCCCTGTGGACAACATCCCATACCTCTAGTGAATCACCTGCACCACTCAGCTTGGTGTCATCCCCAAACTTGCAGAGGGTGCAGTGTGTGGTAGGAGTGTTTATCTGAGCACATCTCTTGACGCAGATGGACGCAGTAGGTAGATAGGTAGGTCAGCATTCTGTCATGGCCTTCGTGACGGTTTCTGCAGCTGCCTGTAATCGTGTTGCCCTTCCTCACTAAGTGATCGTGCTTGTGGGGGTCTGTTTTTGGCATTGCTGAAATTGTGAAGTCTTCCATCAAAACTGAAATTTTGTTCATTTGATGTTCAAGTTCAGATGTTGCCTGAACTAAAACAAGCTGTTTCCCTGATCCCACCAAAATTAACTCTTAACTCACAGTGACCCTTCTGGATTACTAGCTTGACCCTTAACCACTTTTCATTAGCTGTGTTCTCCAAAGCTTCTGTAGGTAGACTATCTTGCCCCAAAGAGATGAGAATAGCTCCTTCATGGATTTCACAGGTCATGGCCTGAGAAAATGAAGGTTTCAGAGGTAGTAGTATATAAACTTCTTCCCACATCCCCCTCTGTAGCACCCCCAGCTGGGCCACAAGAGATCAGTGAACTGAATCACATTTAGAAGAAAAATCCTAATTAGGCTGGTGGGACACCTTAATTCTGTTCCTCTTGATTTCAGAAGAAACAAAATGTCTTTGATCTTCACCTGGGCTCTGACTGTATGGGACTCCTTCACCTTTTGGAAGAGAAGAGAGTAAAGTGCACAAATCAAGAGAATATGAAGAAACAAAATGATTCTCAGAGGGATTTTAATGAAAGTCTTCTCTTTTATTTGAATGGTTGTTATATTCAGATAATTACGTAGAATTGTCATAACAAAGAAAATCAAATTTCCCTTCTTCCCAAGGAATCAAAAAATGTTGCTATGTACAGAATTTACAGTTATATGCAATAGTTTATTGTTACTCTGGACTCCAACATTTGGTATCACTGGTTAAAATTCCCACACTGAAGCTAGAGCGGGATGTGTTCATCCTGTACCTTTCATAATGTTCTTTAAACTGAGCATTCTTCCAAGGATGAGTAACTTTTCCTCACTTGAGATCTTGCTGCTGCATACACTTTTCATCATCCACAGCCTACATAATTAAATTGTGTTCCTTTCTGAGCAGGTGAGAAGTCAGGGAAAACAAGCTAGATGTACAAGTGTGTTTAGGTTTCTGTTTCCTGTTGGAGTCAGATTAAAGATAATACAAAGAAGGTGTGAAAAAAATAATCTACTGATAACAGATGTTAGGCATCCTGGTAACTTTGGTTTAAACTTTGTTTCATAAATTTTCTTTTGCTTACAGAAGCTTCCTTTGTTTTCATGGATTATTTGGCAGAAAGTTTTTCTGGTTTGGTTCAAGCTGCTGAACCTCTGTAACCCTTGTAACTGTAATCCATGGGCACTACAGACACCCAGTTTCTCTTTAAAAATAAGAAACCTTGAAGAACTCAGAAATAAAGCATCATTAACTCTAACTTCATGATCAATCAAATGACCATGGAGAGGATTTCTAAGATCCACGTGCTGCTAAATGAATTAGAACTCAATCCTGGGGTGTTACTAGTAGGACTTCGCTTCTTGAACTCAGCTTCGTTTTCCAGTCTGAATGTACACAGCTGCTCCACAGTAAGGAAAGTTGCTCTGAGCTGGTAGCATTGGAGGTTTGTCACCAAGGGTGCTGGAACGTGTTGCTAACGAATGGAAGTGATCATGTGGTGGGTACAAGGTGTCTTCTGTATGCGGAACTGTCGGGCTTGGTCCACATCATGGGTAGCGGGTCCCTTCCTAGAATCCTTGGGAACAGATGTCCTTGCTCACACAGAGAGAGCTCTGAGACAGTGCTGTGGCAGGCCCTCCCTGCCAGCCCAAAGGGAGTCCTCCTAAATCAAGATTAAGATGTGATGACAGCACGAAGGCAGCCTGCTGCTGCTGGCATGGCCTCTGTTTGGCACTGAAATAGCAGCCTTCAGTCTCCTTATGCAAGTGCATAAAATGCTTAGTAGTAAACTGTGCCTTACCCCCTTTCAGTTGCCTGGACATAAGGAGAACAGTTACCATACTCCTGCTACACAAATGTGCCGCCAAGGGCAGGTGATAGGCAGCAGCAGTGCTGCACTGTGAGCAGCATTATTTAGATGTGTTCTTCCTGGGATCATGATGCACCTGAGGTTCACACAGTAGCAGGCTTGGCTTTTTAATTAGGGAAACGAAGCATCCATAAGCAACAAAACAAGAGGCTTGAAATCATCCTCATTTTGTATTATGCAGAATTTCTATATTCATCAGTACACAAGCGATTGCTAAACAGGTCCTCACTACGTTTACTCGCATTTCCAAACAAGGTGGTTATTATGCAAACAGGTTGGCTTTGTGGAGGCATCTCCAGGATGAGTTTAACCCTGTCCTGTTCGGTTCCTCTTGCCTAAGTCTTATAGGTCTGTAAACGTTCATGTTATACGGAACTGGGGAGTTTTCGGCCATGTAGTGAGGCTGGTAGTAGTTGGCCTGGATGGCCTTCTGTGGAGGAGGGGGTGTGAAGGAGATGTAGCTGTGGAAGGAATTAACTCGATGGAGAGGTGACTGGGGGGCGAAGTTGCTGTTGAACATGGGAGTTCGTGGGGTTTGCTTGGTCTGGTGGGTGCTGCCAGCTGAGAGGCTGCTGAAGGCATCGGAAAGAGTGTTGGCGCTTCCCTCATCACTGTAGGGGAGGCTGCGTGGAGCAGCCCAGCTCCGGCTGAACAGGAAGGGCAGGGAGCGCGGGGGGGACTTGGGGCCCCTCACCGGCTTGGACAGCGCGTAGAGATGCCGGAACTCCTCATCAAACAGCTCCACAACTTGGCCTGTGAACTTGGAGAGGAGGTTGCGGTGAACCTGCCCACACAGCCACGTGAAGCTGGAAGAGACAAAGTGAGGGTTAGTGCTAACGCCGGCCATGAGGAGCTGGAGATCCCCACAGGGGTGATGTGAAAGGCAAATGTCTTTTACTGCTGAAGCTTCTTGTCTAAACACAGGATGAAGACGGTGTTGCAGTTGAATTTCAGGTCAGTTCACATCAGTGCTCTTTGACTTGGATCAATCTTTGTTATTGCAGCTGCCTCAAAAACCTTCAAGAAACCTTGTGAAGTTACACAACCTCCTAAAGGGAGTGGTGATCCAGATCCACTGCAGGGCTAAATGTCAGCTACAATACCCAAGGTTTGGGTGTCTGTTCCATGGAAAGGAGTTTAGATCCCTCTTTTGAATCTCTCTTACACACACAGTGTTTAAATTCAGGTCTTACACCAGGTTTTATCTGCACACCCATGAATTGTACCTTGCACCGTGCAGAATGCTGTGCCAGTTGGTAACTCTTACCCACTCAAAACTGGCATCAAAAAGACTAGCGAAAAATAACCATCCTTAGTTTTCATTTTGCCATAATCTTTCTGCATTGGCCAAGAGAAACACATAAAAACCCAGCCTCCCTGTCACTCATCCACAAAACAAACCGCCACACCTGACAAATGCTTATTTTCTTCACTACGGAGAAAATTAAATTATAAATATTTCCTACAGCCTTTCCAAAAATAAATATACTACTTTGCTATAAAGGGAGAAACACCACAATAGTTTTCATTCTGCTCGTCCAGAAACACACCCTAGGATAACCCATAGCTTTTAAATGATTTTTCTTTTATGTGCTTCCCTAATGCAGTCAGCAAACATAAATTTGCGTTTTTACAAAACCACAAGCCAGCTTGACTGTGCCGTGCAGGCTGCCATGTCTGAGCAGCAGCAGCACCAATAAAATGAGCATAGTTGAGAGAATAAAATGTAATTACTCCCTGAGCTGACCAGGGCTTGAGCTGTGCAGCAGAGGATACAGAGCAGCATTGGATTTAAACCTGAGGTTATTCTGTGTTGGCAAAGCTCTGCCATGGTTATTCCTGCGTGACTTTATTAGCTACACTGGATTTGCACAAGGATTGCTGAGAGCCAGATTTGGCTGTAGGTGTGTGCATTTAAAATCTTGTTCTTGTCATGTTTTGACAAAACTCCTGTGAATCTCAGTGGGACTGACAGCCTGAGCTGATGCTGAGGGAGTAAGACAGACAATTTTCATATGCCTGTCCAGAGTATTCCTAAAGAGAGTTGGGTTTGGGGCATACAGTGGTTTTACACTGCTGCTTCAGGAGCAAGGGTAGGAGTGAATAAATTGATAGTTCAGTGCCACTGGGTTACCTTACAATATATACTGTGTGTTTTATGATTGGACGTGAAAACACACAGTAAGTTACTAGAATACAGGTAACTTCTCATCCAGTTTGTTCAAATCATTCCAAATATGGACAAAACCTTGGGAGCCAAGGTAAAGAGCACAGCAAGCTAACTCCCTGCTGTGTGTGTAACATCTGCTGTGCCAGCTCAACATTGCCTTTATTTACCAAGCAATGCTCTCTAAACCTTTGCATGTCCTTCATCTAACTGTTAAGGAGACAGTAATTCAGGAATAAATACAAAAACACACTGAAGGTTATGAACTCATGAAAGGGGTGAGGTGTAAAGTGGCAGATTTCTGTGCTAGAGATACCTCTAGTTTATAAAAGAAAATGTAGACAAAAGTAAAACATCAATCACATTTGTAAATGGCTTTTAAAAGCCGAAAAAATAATCAGAGGAAAAAACTGTTCTGCCCAGTTTTGATAATTTACTCCCACGTGTAACTTCCCAGAGTACATGACAGACAGATACTAGTTTGTGGCTCATTGATCTTATCTGTAATCCCCGTAAACAGAAAGTTGATCAAAAGATTCTCCAAGAACTGATGGCAAATAGGTCAGCTGCAAAGTTACAAGGTGAGACCTATGTGATTTTATATAAACGTTTGTAGTCACGGCAATGTACATTCTGTGCACTTAGCTGAAGAACAAAGCTGAACTTGACATTGAGACTTAACAGATTTTCATTGGCTTAAATCTAAGAAGAAATTAACTGTTTCGGGTTTAGGCCCTGTTTTGCTCCTTAGTTTACAATTCCAAGTGCTCTTTTGAGAAAGGTTCAGAGAAGTCTTTGTCACTATCTGCCCAGAAGGATCATTTCTCTACCAGACCTCTTTGAGTGAGGCCCATCAGGAAGAAGAGAAAACAAAAAGAAGTAATGCCTAGACTGGGGCCAATGCTGTATCACAAGTTCAGTCATTAATAGATGCTTCTCAGCCATCTTGCCAGGCTTTGTCCCAAAACCTATGCCCTGTTCCAGATCCTCTGATATATGGTTGTCTGAATCACAACCCACTTCTCCTGTTCAGTACTGGACTTGTTTTGTAATGAGTGTCCCCTCTGCCTTGCTGCAGCTCATTAGGGATGCTCTCAACCCTGTGTTTGCAGCACTGCAGCAATGTGCAGCAAACAGAAATACTGCATCGTAACCCCACAGACACTGGCAACAAAAATTGAGAATAAAACTGTAATTTAAAACACTCATCCCTATACTTGTGCTGATGTGTGTGGAAGAGAGTTCAGAAGTTTCTCAGCTCTGGTCTGCCCTGTGCAGCAGGACCACACTTATTCACACTGACCAAAGCAATGCTTTTTAGTGTGGTTTTAAAAACCACGCCAGAGCAGGAGATGCCACAGACTCAGTGGTGGTTCCTTTGCCTCGAACTAGTAGTCAGCTTCAGTCCTTTTTCTTCACTGTCTATTAGGCAAATATATTTTGTCCCCAAACACTTTGGGAAACAGTGAACCAGGGTGCCTTTTTAGAGCAGTATGTCCTGAAGGGCTACTTTATTTCCTCAGCCTGTTCCCCCTCCCCCCCATTACAATGTCATGCAGTGCACAGCACTTATATAAAATTTGCTGATGTATTTTAGATCTCTTGTATTAGTTTTAAGATCTCTTCCAATTTGATTTCCAACAAATGCATTGCAGAAGAGTTTGAGTTCTGTTTTACTCTATGTAATTTTTGTTTATTCCTGAAGAGGTTGGTGGATAAGATTCAGGCATAACAGAAATCTTTCAGATCAATGAAGTGAGAGCTAACAAGAAATGCCATACACTGATAGCCAGCTATAACCCATATGAATCTGCAAACTGCTGGTGCTGAGCATGCTGAAGTTAAATAATGCATAGATTTGTTCCTCACCACCCTCTCTGTTTGCGGCTGGATAAGGGATTACGTACTTGAGGTCAGTAGATATTGCAACAGCAGCAGAGAAAGACAGAAGTGACTGCACAGGACTTCAAGGGTTTTTAGTTTGGTGGCTTTTTTTTTTTTTTTTAGGATTGAAAGAGAAGCCAAAAGGAAGCTTCTTGGCTAAAGAAAATAGAACTTGTCCTGTCCTTCTTCCATACATCCTTCACTTCTACTCTGTCTATAAATCTGCTGTTGTATTTCTACACATCTCTGGTGAGGGATTAAAAACCACGTGAAGGAACAAGAAAACCAAAGAGTGGTCAATAAAAAAAACCCTGAGTGTCCACTCATTTTTGTCTGATGGGTCATTTGGAAATGGAATGTGGACACCTGAGCTCCTGCAGCCCATCCCCACATTGTTACCTAAATTTACCTTCATTACTACGGTTATGTACTCTTCCTGATGGCACAGTTTTATCAGACCAGGGACATTTAAGCTTCCAAATCGTAAACTGGGATTAAGAAACGCAATCACATCCTTTTAATTAAATAATCACCTCCTGTATTTTTGCATCTGGATTTCTAGGATACACTTAGTCATTTGTGAAGCTTATCTATGTAGCCATGATGCTTAGGAACTTCATTTATTTGATACAAGCTCAGGGCCTCCTGAAATTCCCTGACTGGAGGATCTTGGATCTTAATTAAAAACCCTGTTGTTGAGATGCTATATCCTCTACCTGAAATAACTACAGCAGCACAAAAAAATAAAAGGGGAAAAAATGAAGGTACAGCAGTCACATAGATATATACTGCCTACCTACTAATGAAACACGAGGAAAACCAGTAAGTCTCTGAAGAATTTATGTTTTAGCTTTAATCACTAAACTTGTCATATGGAGAATAAATCCTCAGATAAGCTGAGTGACATATGCTACATTAAGGGATCCCGAGGGAGATGGAAATGTATCCTGAGAACCCAAACAACGAGGAAAGCGTAATATTAAGCTGTACACATTTTTAGTTCTGCTCCAGGGCTGAACCAGCAAAGTTGTTTACATTAGTTTCTGAACATTTAAATTAAAAACCATGCTCCATAAAGAACTAATACCAGCTTTAAAGCAAGTTAAATGGATTTTTGAGAAATGGCACATATTTGAAAACATGAGGGTTTTTTTGTTACACAAAATATTCTTACCTGTACAAAAATTTCTGTGGCACTTTTTTGTGAAGTAACATTAAAAATCATAAAAGAGTACCTAGACATGAACTGCAATGGCTTATCTCACCTGTAAGATCCTGAGAGCACGTATCTCCAGTCAGAGATAAGAAATTTTTCTTTTATTTGTCCTGAAAATTTCCTGCCTGATTTGGCACAGTAAACCTCTCCAGTAACACTGCGGACTGAAATATTCTGTAAATAAAAATAAAATGGAGTGAATTACATTTTTTAAAAATCAAAAATCAGAAGTGAAAGGCCCTTCCCCCCCCACCACCTTTAGTTCTTCATTTCCCCAGAGCTGGATTTCTTCCTGGACTCTCCAATGTGGTATTTCAAGGTTTGTGTCTAGAGCAAACCTAGCCAAGGTCTCTCACTTGCCACAGGGTTCACTTGTTTCACTGGGGACATAAACCCTGCATGGAAGCTCATCCAGAGGGAGCTGTGCTGTGTGACTGATACCCCAACCAAAATGAGTGCAGGATGTGCCCAGAGCTGAGAGCAGCCTGTTGCCTCCGCTGACACCCCAGCCCCAACCTGCTCTAGCTGTGAGCTCTCATTTTACACAGCAGGGAAAAACCTCTGCTCTTCCAATCCATCTGGGCCTGCATGGACATACACGCTGCTCTTCTGGAGCAGCTCAGACAGCTGCTGTCCTTCAGGATCAGATGTAAGTGCATGTGTCAGTTTGGCCCATGCGATGATCTGCACTGTCCTTGTACCTCAGCAAATGCGTTTCAGGCTCACCAGGCACCTGGGTGTGACTGCCACACACACACTTCACAGAATCAAGGCCTTAGTAAAGGAGTGGCACCAAGGGTTTGACTCGCTTGTTGTGAAAGCCTGTGTGCTGTAGCTGCACACTCACAATAAATAGTGCAGGCTTGTTCTTAGGAATGAGGGTTTACAAACAACTGTTATTAATTTAAATTTTTTATATATTTGGGGTGGAATTCAGCTGTTGAAAAACAGGTGTCTGGTGCACGTGAGATGCCCTCAGGCCTCCTGCATGCCCCACAGCTGCTGTTCCAGAGATCTGTTGCCTCTGTGGTATCACCCATCCCCATGGAGATGCCACAGGTGCCCCACAGCATCTCAGGCAACCACTGAAATGATCCCTAGGAGAGGTTTTTTTAAAGCCTGTGACAGAGTTGAAGACAAATTAAGCTAAGAGCCAGCTAAATTTGAGGCACTATTTATCTTTAAAACAGAGATTTAACACGTTTTATCAGGCACTACCCAGTGCAACCACGGTACTGCCATGCAAAAGAGTTTCATACACCTTCTCCCCGTGGCTGCCAGACCACAGCTGCTGCAGAGCTATTAAACAGAAGCAGTTGCAATGCTTACATTAGACAACTCTACAAGGAGAGTTAAGCTCTGTTTTAAGACTTCAGGGCCCTGATTAGTTTCATCTAAGGGACCTGATGTAAATGCCTTACCTTCCTATAATATCCATGGGAAAATGCAGGCATCTTCAGAGAGGAATTAGGCGTGCTAATACTACCTCAGGTGATCTCTTGCTCCCTTTTAATTACAAGGTGGGTTGACCCTGGCATAACCATGCTCCTAGCTCAGAGTGCCTGAAGTTAAGCAGATGAATCTGAGCCTAAGAGCTTCCCAGAGCCACAGTACCTTGAAGAGATCCTCGGCAATTTGCAACTTGTCACACATCTCCGAGAAGAGATTTATACTGCCATGATCGAGCAACAGGTAGACAAACACCATGCGCTTGTTAGCTGCCTCCAGGAGGTCACAAAGAATCTCAGTGTCCGTGAAAACATCCATCACGATAGCCAGCACCTTGGGGAAAAAAAGCACAGGCATTAGCAGAGTCAATTTACATAACTTTCAGGTTGCTCATGAGGCCACTGACATGCAGTTTATTTGTTTAAAAACAAATCCCAACAAACACAAATATTCAGAGATTTATGTGGATATTTGCTCTGGTTTTCTCCCTAAGTGCCTGAATCAGTAAACTGATGAGACACATTGCTTCATTGTTTTATTGCTCATATAAAACCCGTGTAACACACAACTTATAACCCAAGATGACACATGAGTTTGTAGGTGAGATTTCAGCACTAGGAAATATATTGAAATGCTAATCAGAGAATAATGAAGACATAGCTAAAACAAGAGAGTGTAGCTCTTGCCAAACAACTGACTGGCTGTTGTAAGGCACATGTGTTCAGCAAGAATCACTGGATGATGCTTTCTCTGTTATGACTTACACCTGGAACGGTCCTGGATTTAAATCCTCACTCTGGTGGTGGTGGTGGAGCAATGGACTCTCAACAGCTCCATCTGTTGCTTTTTTAAAATACTGATTTATAAACTAACTGTTTCAACTTAACCACACATCCTTGCGTCCCAATTCACAACTGGCAGAACAGTGTATAAAAGTCTCAGTACTGGGCATAAAAACCAGCTATTTAAATGCACAGCCTGCAGCCAGTATGGATCAAGGGAACTGTAAATGTGACAGAAAACCAGTTCCATACTCCAGTCCCTATGCTCAGTGTTGGACACAGCCTCATCAAGGTGATGGTCTTGACTGACATCTGCTATTTGCCATGGAAAGGGTCACTCCCCAGGGCAATTCAGCCCAGCTAATACCTGACTTATCTGTTTTTCCACTGACCAGACAGGGAAGCCTTGATAACTGTGCTCACAGGATATCCTCTTCAGGCAAAACAAACTTTATAGTATCTCTGTAGATGTCTTACTAATTGCTGCCAACTTGCACTGAGTCTTACTCCAAAGACCATGCCCACACCTAAAAACAAGCTTATTCCCTTTGCAACCATGAGGAAATCCTACAAGACTAAGCACATCTTGTGCAGCCATCATCCTCTTCAGGCAAGCCAAACTACTTGTGGGGCAGTGAGGATCTCACACCCTCCTCCTGCTGCCAAAACATGATGCTTCAGAAAGGGCCTTGCCACTGCGGGGTAGGTGGCACAATTATACCCAATATCTCACATCCACACTTACTGTTACCACCCCGGTCTTTTGAAACAGCACAATGCTGATCCAGCCTCACTGCAGCTCCAGACAACTCTAATGTCCTTTTTCAGCAGCTGTTCCCAATTTATATTTCTGCACCTGACTTCCCTCTCTTACTTGCAGTACTTCTTGCTTCTTTTGTCCAAATTTTAATTTTTATGATTTCCGCCAATTCTACAAATGTGTTAAGATTACAGTACCACTTACCAATCCTTTGCAGTCTGATATCACCCACAAACACAGTCTTTATCCTGTTGTTCAGGTTGTTAATGCATATATCAAATACTAGGCTATCCAGGATGGACCCTTACCAGATGATAAGTAATAAATGCTCCTCTTAGAAAACTGTGCTCAAAAAGCAGTTGATAAATTTATACTGTTAATTAATGTTGCTTCAGCACCTCCTTGTAATGTAAATTAGATGATAAAGAAGGTCATGTGAACCATGGATTTATTTTACATTTCCCACTTTTTCCCCTACAAGTCTTCTTCTCTTGGGACAGAAAATTTGCCTGGGATGATATTTTACCTGATGCTTATTTTATCATTCCAGCGACATTTCTTCTGATTCTGCACCTTTCTGATGCTGCCAACTTAAAATGATTGATCTATAATTCCCCTGATGTGGTAAGCTCTTGCAGGCTTTGATAAAGCAGTTGCCAACTGGGATCCTTCTCCCCTGCCATTACACTCAGTGTTATCAGGCACAAACGCCCTTGCAGGGGAATAACAAAGCAGAAGAAACCTGACTCCAGCAGGCTTGGAAGTCTGTGCTGGGCAGCAGCACTACAGCCTGGTTTGGTTCCTATCTTGGAACACCGTTCCCTTGTGAAACTTCTGGTGCTGTCTCGAATTTATTCAAGGGGAAAACTCCTGGACGATGGTAAACACAGCCTTGAAATATCAAATGTTTTTTCCAGGAAAACAAGAGAGCTGCCAGAACACACATGACAGAGGCTTTTTATCCCCCTCCAGTTGCTCAGCTTCTGTTTTCCCAGAGTGTGTGGAGCCTGGCTTATAGCTGGCACCTCTCTGTGGCCCCTGTCTCCTGTGTGTAGTCAGGGGCATCATCTGCACCTTTCCCGTGTGCCAAGTTACGCTGAAGAGCTTCCACATGGAGCCCACATGACATTTTTAGTGATGCTGGCAACGTGTCAGGGATGAAAGGTCTCTGCCGAATAATTTCCTTCCTCTGGGGATGGCTACTGGCATACGAAACACATCTGCCTTTCTCCAGCCTCTCCTTCACCCGAATCTCCCATGAATCCCCTTGAACGATTCCTAATGACTGAGAGCTCGCTTGGGCTTAATTCTCATCAATGGTGCAGTGGTCTGAACAAAGCAAATCATCCTGCTGGGGGTGCCCAAGGAGAGACAGAGCCCAGCTGCCCTTTCTACAGCACATTTGATCCACTGGGTTAATGGGAAGTTAGAAGAGGGAGTGCTTTCTTTTAAGTCACCAGCATAAGAAGGTGGTGGTGTGAGCACCAAAACAAACAAACAAACAGGCACTGCCTGTGTTCAACAACAGGGTCTTTACAGCCACTTTCCAGAATAAAAGCTACACTGTAGCACACAAGGCTGCCTTGGATCAAACACCATATTCACTTGATCTTTTAAGAGCAAGAAGACAACAAGTGCAGAGGGAACAGCAATTCTCTCCCCTACCTGAGTGGTCTTGTTGATGTACCGGCGTATGATGTCTCTAATGTTGCTGTTCTTCTCCGTTTGGAAATACACGGTGGCAGTGGATTTTTCCTTCATATAGGGCTTCTCCGCAGTAATCCACGTGTGCAGCAGAGCCGACTCACTGCAGTCAGAAATGGTGGGGAAGTAGGTCCCTGAAGGGAGTGATCCGGCATCGTTCTGCTTTGGCGCAGCCGCCCCGTCGGCAGCTGAGGACTCCTGTGCATAATAGGACTCCCTGGCATTATCCTTGATGTACTGAGCTTCCACGGAGGAGAGGAAATCCACCTCGCCCTCTTTGCTTAAAGTTTCGAGGTAAGAGTCTGTCCCACCGTCCAGGAAGGCGTCGGTGGCCAACCTTATGCTTTCGTTGTGGCTGAAATCCACTTTGTTCAGCTTCGGGGACTGGCTCTTGATGTCCTCCAGCCTTTTCCTTATCTTGCCCATGTGTCTGGGGTGGTTCATGGCTCGTTGTCGCAGCAGCCGATCTGCCGGGTAGGCACCATGCATATGAGTGGGACAGGCAGTGCAATCATCCTTGTTTGGGGACTGCATCCTGGCATGAAATCGCCTTGGCTGAACGAATTAACTGTGAATAAAAATAAAGAGATCTTATTACCGCAGGCAAACTCACACTCCCTGAATTTGTCTGTACAATTATCTTCAAAACAAACCTGAAGCTTGCTTCTCAGGTGGTGGTGTACTCCGGCAACAATCTGTTTCCAGATGGGACACAAGAGCAAAGCTGATTAGATTGCTTATCTGAGAGGCACCCACCTCAGCCCCAGGGCATGCGAAGGATTCGAGTCCAATTTACCACGGCTGTCCGATTCGATTGTATTTCCCTTCCTGTCGCATCCTGTGAAATACGAGTGAGGAAAGCACTCAAGCAAAAGCAGGTAGGCTCCCAAGCATCATTGCACAATCTTCAAAACAGCTTGAGGCTTCTCTGTCTTCCCATAGTATTTGTTATGGAGAAAAAACAGTTCTGATGTTGAACTGGAACACAGACAGCAGCCATGTCCATGGCTTCAGAACAGCAAAAAGGGTCATGGGCTCTGGTCGGCACCTACATGCTGCCAGGCAGGCTTAAAAATAGATGTGAACTTCGTCACTGTGCCCCATCTGTAGCATGTTGCTATTACCATATACGATTCACTCATCTATTTCTTTAAAGCTTTGTGACTACGCCATCCTATTAAAAGAAAAATACCCCTTCCCAAACATCCTGAGTATTATGTGGAGGGAGGGTTGTGAGCTGGCCTTAAAGCATCAGAAATACAAACACTCATCACTTGATTGTGCACATTTAGGGCTGTTTGGTTGGTTTCTTTTTTTTTTTTTTTTTTTTCCAGGTTGCAGCTTCTGGAGTCACGTTGTCCCCGTGGCAGCTCACTGCTGTGTCATTAGCAGGTTCGGAGCGGGGTGACAGGCCAGAGCCTCGGGGGAGCCGGGCTGGCTGGTCTGACCGAGGAGAGGCGGGGTGGGAAGGCACCAGCCCGAGGTCTCCGCACATACCTGCGTGCGTGCCTGGATGCAGAGGCACGTGTGACACAGTTTTCTCAGGCGGGCCGGGCTGGCCCTCGCCCTGCACTCTCTGTCCACGTATCCATGTGCCACAGCTCCAGAGGGGAGCGCAGGACCACGGCGATGTGCCAGCCTGGGCTCTTGGATGGGGGCACGTCTGAGCAGGGAGAGGATCCTTCCGCCCTGGCCTCGGGAGCAGAGATGTCCTCAGGGGCGCACAAGGTGGCACAGGCTCCTTTTTCAGGGCAGCTTCCCAGATTATGGGGCCGTGTCTATGTCAGATGCCTTATCGGGTGGAAAAAAAGAGAAGTAATTACACGTAAGGATGAGGCAAACAAATATATACAAAAAGAGGAAAGGGTATTAAATGGTTCGGATTTCACTCCCCGAGCACGGAGGGAGGGACACACCCACGTGGGGCCGAGGAGAGGCGGGGCCGTCCTGAGCTCTGGGGTCATTTTGAAAACTACCCCGTCCCTCCCCCCGCCCCCAACATCCGCCCGCAGCTGCCAGACGCGGCCGAAGCTCACTAATTATCTCCTGACCTGCGCAATTATGCTGAAAATTATGCCACCTAATTACCCTGACACGCCAGGACTGTGCCCTGCCAACGCCGATCGGGCCCAGGGACGGTTCTGCCCGCCTCGGCCAAGGTCCCTCACTGTCACCCCGGTGTCCCGCGCTGTCACCCCGGTCCCCATATGGCCACACTGGTTGTCACCACGGGACTCACACTGTCACCCCGCGGTCCCTCACGGTCACTCCGGTGCCCCGCACGGCCGCCGCAGGATTCTCCCCGGGTGGGAGCAAGGTGGGAGGAGGAAGGTCCGGACCGGGCTGTGCCGAGTCCTCCCGCGGCCCCGCGGGGAGCGAGGTGGCCGGTGCGGGGCCAGGGTAGGGTCGAGAGCCGGCCCGGAGAGCACTCACCCAGCCGCCTCGTTAGCGCAGTAGGTAGCGCGTCAGTCTCATAATCTGAAGGTCGTGAGTTCGATCCTCACACGGGGCAAAGGCGGGCAGCTCTTTTGCTCCCGCCGACAGACCCGCCCGGCGCTGCTCGGACCCCTCGGCGTGTCGTGACTGTCGTGATTTACGAAGCTGTAGTTCGAGTTCCAACTCTCCTGCTGGCGGGTTTGTGGGAGTAACGTGCGCGATTGTTCTACCTTTTGTCAGAGGGTTTCCTGCCCCTGAGCCGTCTGCGAGTCCGTGCAGGGATTTGGGGATTGGGAAGCAGATCCTGCGGTGGGCACACCCAGGGTCAGGCAGGGACCGGGAGCCGCTGCGGGGGCACTGCAGGGCACCGGGGCCGCCGAGGGAAACATCCCGGTTTATGCACATTTACAGCTTTGACTGTTTTACAAACCGTATGTGTGAACACGTGTGGCCCAAGGTGCCGGCCAAAAACTCTGGGGGTTTATTTTTTTCCCCTTTAAATATAGAAATAATCGTATGTAAACTCCAAGACAATCATCAGAAAAGGATAATTTTTCTCATGTACTCCCTCTGCCTCCCAGAGATGATCCTCCCCTGTTGCATTTTTCTCCTTTGCAAAGGAATGATGCCTCTTCCCTGCTGGGCTGTGATGAGATTGCCGTGGATCCTGGTCGCTGCTAATGTGACTGTTTCTAGTTCCAGACTCAGAGGATGGTAAGGTGAGGATAACCAAGTACCTCTGTGCATTTAGGTCTTCATGTAATTTAAAAAGAATCGGGAAGACTGCTCCCAGGCCCAGATGACAGGGATCTGCTGGTTGCAGGTACCATCTGCCCTCTGCTTCAGCCCCCACGGGGCACCCTGGGCAGTCCTGCTCTGACACCGCTGCCCCAAAGAGCATCAGCAAAACCCCAGGGGAAGCAGAACAAATTAAGATCGCAGTGGTCTTATATTCTACAGGGTCAAGTCTACTCCCAGTCAGTACTGTGTGTAGCAATTATGAATCATTCACTTTATTTTACTTTACCTCATGCTTTTTTACTGTAACCCTACATGAAGTCCTGTTCTTGGGTCAAAACCATCAGCTGTCAGTATGTCTAGCAATGTGAAGAGCACTGTATTTATTGAGATCCTCTCTCCCCTTCTTTCTCGCGAAATGAACCTGCTCGTATGTATAACAACCAGATACATCTCCAGCAGCAGAGGCTCCACACCCTCTCTGGGCCTTGGTTTCAGTGTTTGGCTCTCACTGGAAATGATTTTTTTTTTTTTAATTGCAAATTTCCCTGCTGCAACTTGTAGAATCCACTTACACATCAATGACAAAAACACATTTCAACAGTGGTTTGTCTTCAAGTCATAGCAGGCACCTGAAAGAAGTATACAAATACTGCACAGGCCATATTCCAGTGGTAAAAACTGAGTTTATTTATTATTTAAGTAAAAAATAACAAGAAGGTTACAAACCACACACATATTTTCTATCTAGCATTTTTATATAAAAATATATCCAAAGGCTGTTATAATAAACAGTCTATGACCCATCCTGGATCACACTATACATATTTAGCTTTTCACTGATTAATAATTTGAAAGTACAGCTGGGGTCCAGAGCCAAAAAGCTCAGGGTGTCCACGTTGTAGCTGGGAAATGAGCTGGAGGGTGTCTACTTTTAGCCTGTGAGGTCAGCCTTTGTCTGAGCTGCCGGACTTCTGCCATCAGCTCCCGCTCCTGGCGTGCCAGTTCTCGTCTTCTGTCTAAAGACACTGAAGTGCAAGAAACTCAGACTTAGTATTGCAGCTAATGGTTTTCCATATACACTACAAATACCTATTGGAAAACAGGTATTTCTGGCACAGCAATGCTGTTTTTCAGTATCCCTGTGTGCAAGACAGCCCTCAGATCTGCAAAGAGCAAGTTCTTTGAAAGCAGCACCTGTTTTGCTGCCAGAAGGTCAGATGCTAATGGGTGGCTACAGCAAGTCCACGGATACACATTCCCATTGCCTGCAGAGTTTTGTACATAAGGTGCATAGGATTTTAAATTATGCTTTCACTGCCAGAGTGGCTAGGACAGCCCAGAGGAAATGATTAGACTAATTCTTGACTCCCAGTAAGATTTCGATGAAAGACAGCTCTACCTCTTCTCAACATTCCCAAATCATAAATATGGAAAAGCATAGCTAAAATGATCAGGTCAGAATGTGATTAAACTAGGCTGAGGTTTACTAGGACTGCTCTCATAATGTGACACGCTTCAGGTACTTCCTATGTGTGCTGGTAGCAAAGATTTTTTTTTCAGGTGTGAAATAGAACACAACAATAAACTGGTTTACTATCCACTAAACACCCACACAATTAATAATGACTCAATCACACAACGAGGTGTTCCAGTAATGCTTCTGAAACTAAACATGAAAGAAAAGAGAGTCCTAACTTTGGAACTTACTGTGTGGTGATTGCACTAAAGCAGATAAATCATTCAGACAGATGTTTCCAGACCTGGGCACCTGCTGGACTTCCACCCCTCTCTCTGTGCGTCCAGCCTTTAAATCACACGGTCTCTCTGTGGAGTGGAGAGAAGGATTCTTTGTGAATTAAAACTGTGTACGTTTCTAGTGAATTTTCCTAGCTTGAGGTGAAAGCGTTTTTCTTCAGGAAGCACACCTAGACCAATCACTCGCTCCACCTAATGGCAAGTACAATTTGCTCAGAATTAGAAGTCAACGTTTCTACTCTATGGGTCAAGGCTATGCATCACTGCACTTCATTTTAAGAAATTACAGCTCTGTAATTTCATTAATTTCTTAAAATTCCGTTTAAGGAATTATAGCTCTCTAAGAAATTATATGTGCTGTTTCTTCCTATATAATTAATCTTCTGACAAATAGGCCACTAAGATCATGTGGAATATGGCAACTCATACTTGCAGTTTTAAGGAAACACCCATTTTAATACTGTGCATTTGCAAATTACTCCATACCAAAAACATTAGGTAAATAAGGGCAAAAGCTGAAAATGTTTGCCCAAAGCAGTACTAATCACCTAACCTTAATACTAATCAGTAATTTTGGGTGAGCCTTGAAGACATGGGGGGATAAGAGAAATATCTGCAAAAACACACAAATGCAGCATTTGAGAAAGATGTACTGGCCAGTTCTGAAAGCACACACATGATTTTCTTCTGTGAGCAAACACTTGGAAAAGTCACTTCTGGTATAATACTATATGTCATCACAGGACATTACTTGACAGAGGATTTCTAATGGATTGGCTTAAGTTCAGCTAAACCTGTGTCCCTACCAAAAATGCCATTTACATTGCTGCATGTGATAGGTATCAAACTGAGATTTCTTTCCAAGTCTGGCCTGATATATTGGTTTCATTACAGAATACTGCCAAAGTATCATGACAGAATACTGCCAAACTCCTTATGTAAAGGAGTTATGCTTAAGTTTATCCCTATATTGGACACTTAGTTTGTGTTGAGTTGTTGAATGCTTCATGCCGACATCCACACAGAATTGCATTATCTATATGCTCACCAAAATAACCATCTTCCCTTTCCAGCTTTTCAGCCAATTCTAACGCATCATTAATTTTGTCATCTAAGAACTGCTTCCTGTGCTCATCTGCAGCAGCAGCCGCCTTCTGCTCTTCCTCTAGTTGAGCTTCTTTCTGTATAACGTCTTCCCACTGTGCAAGAGAGATATTAAATGTCTTCAACAGATGCGATGCAAGGAAAAAGCAACAAGTAAAACCATCTGGATTATTACAGATTACATTTCACTCTTAATTCAAAATATTTGTTATTAAGCTGTGTGAATGTTTTATTTTGGAAAATGTCTCAATCAAACATCTGGAGAAAGGCAACAGTCTTAGGTCAGAAAAAAAAGAAAAAAGAGAGGAACTTACAGAAATAGGAATATACTTCCCCAAATCTAAAACATTCTCACCGATTTTCTCTAGTTCTTCCAGAAACTTCCAGTCAAAACAGGAAAGGAGATTCCCAACAAAATATTTCCCTAGTATCTTTCAGCTTCATGGTCTCCCCGTTATGGGCAAAAGACCCAGTGTGCCAGGCCCACTTGGGAAAAGAAATAATGCAAATACCTTTTTTTCTTCTGTCTCCCTCATGGCCTTCAGCAGTTCAGCTTCCCTCACCCTG